CACTGAGGCCATGGCCCCCAGAGGAGCAGCCCTTCTGTTCACACAGCGCTGTCGGGGGCAGGGGGGTGAGGAGGGGGTGGACTTTACCTCCAACACAGTGTACACACGTAATACATCTCTAAAATGAAAACAAGTTTATGGAACAATAGTCCCCTTATAAGTATGATGTCCTCATCTGATCTGATCTGTTCTATTCTGTTCTTTTGTTCTCTTCTGCTTTATTCTATTGTGTTCTATTCTTTTTTTTAAAGATTTTATTTATTTGAGAGAGAAAGAGAGAGCAAAGGAGGGGGAGGGGCGAGGGAGAGGCAGACTCCCCGCTGAGCAGGGAGCCTGACCTTGCAGGGCAAGGTCTCCGTTTCCTGCCTTACAGCCTTTCAGCAAGACTGCCAATCCTCATCCTCACTGTCTGCTCCCCGGTGTAAGGGGGTGTGGCTTGGATGACTGCCCGAGAGACGAGTCTCTGGGTGTTACTGCGGATGTCCCCGAGTCCCATCAGGAGGGGGGCAGTGGGAGGCACCTCCCTGAGCCAGTTTTTCCTCCGCCCTCCACCCCTCACCCTACCAGGTCCTGGGACTGGAAATTAAACCAGGTTTGCTGCCATCTGAGAGCACTCTGTCCAGCTGCCTTACAACCCTGCAGCATCAGGCAGGGTCCCTGGAGGCCTCTGGGAAGGGGCTGCCTGGCTGCTCCCTGTTTTCCTGGCACAGCCCCCACTGATCTGCTCTGGGGAGAGCCCTTGGCCCCAGAAGGCAGCTTGGGAGGCCTCTGGGCAGCAGGTCACTGGCGTTCCCACATGCGTACTTCCGGCTCACTGCTATAACTCTGCCATCACCCCCAACTGTAGGCTCCTCTGGGATTCCTGTGTCCAGAAAGTCCTCGTCCCCCATGCCCTGCATATGCCCTTCAAGGCCTCACCCCAACCCTGCCCTTGAATTGTCACCTGAACAGAAACTTCGTCCTGCACTCAGATTCCTGCGGGACTGATTACTCAGCTGCAGCTCAGCCACTCAGCCAACGGAACTTGGCCAAGTGATTATTCCTCTCTCATCTCAGTTTCTCATCTGTATAATGGAGCTAAAGCTCTTACAGGGTTATATGAAGCTTACCTTTTGACCAACTGGCACCCCAGCAGGCACAAAGCAGGGCTCAGTGTCTGGTGGAGGTTGCTAGCATGACTGGCCAGTTAATGAATCAATTCACTGGAAAGAGAGGCAGGATGTACTTGCTCCTCTGATTTCCCATGGGGAGAGCGGTGACAGAGGCTACCAAGGGAATGGGAGATGGGCCGTAATCAGGGGAGAGAAAAGAGGGCAAGGGGAAAAGAAGGGAGGGGAGAAGGATGGAGGGCAGGAAGGTCGTCAAGCACAAAAAGACAACCATTTTCTTGGAGGACAAGGAATAGAGCTATGAACACCATGTAGACATGTCTTCTCAGTCACAGTTACAGAATTTTGAGCTGGAAAAGGGAACCTGGAGATCACAGACCTCCACCTCCCCCGAGGTGAGGCAGTTCAGGTCCTGGGAAAGTAGGAGTTAGAGATGGGGGAGAATGGGTTCTTGGGGACAGGCACTGCCTGGGACATCTGGCCATCCCCTCTCCAGCACAGCAGGCCAAATTCTTCCCTTTCTTTCTCCAAGGCTGCTCCAGCAGAGAGTTTATCTCCATGGCAACCTCTGAGGAGCCTGAAGTTGCAGAAGAAATGGAAAAGGAGAGCAGTGCTCTGAGTGTAATTTATTTTCTTCTTACCTCTTTCATTTTTCTCCCTCATTCCTATTCATCAGCTTCTCCTGCCTCTTCCTCTCCCCATTTCCTCTCTCTCCCCTTTCCCTCTCCCCCCTTTTCATGATTCTCACCCAGAAGGACCAGGCCTAATCCAGGAAGCTGAGGTCACTGGATCTGCTAAGTGCCTCAGACCCTCCCAGCATAGCATGGCCTCTGTCTCCTTAGCAATGCACTGGTTTCTGGTCATAAATATGGGGCTCCTGCTGGGATCCCGAGTGACCCCGTTTGAGAGCTAGGGTGGGCCCCAACCTGCCAGCGGGAATCACCGGTTGCGCCTGGCCCGGGCACTCCTCGGCACTGCCAACTCTTGAGGGTGCACCACTGTCCTCTCCCTTATAGCTATCCGGACTTTTCCAGTTGGACGACAGTTATGAAACGTGTTCCTCCAAATCTGTCCTGGAAACGGGAGAAAGCATCCAGGGTAAGAAAGAAGGTGGCGACGAGGACCTGTGAGTGTGAAAGAGGAAAGAACAGTGAGCGAATTGGTTAGTCATTGCTCCCCTGACTCTCCTTGGAATTT